CCTGCCTCAGCCTCCCAAGTAGCTGGGACTACAGGCGCCCGCCACCTCGCCCGGCTAGTTTTTTGTATTTTTTTTTTTAGTAGACACGGGGTTTCACCGTGTTAGCCAGGATGGTCTCGATCTCCTGACCTTGTGATCCGCCCGTCTTGGCCGGTTATCACTAATTCTTAACCACTGCATTACATTCTGCAGATACTACTATTCACTTAGTCACCTAGTCTTTCCTACATACACATATATATGCATCTATTAAATAGAAAGATGACATATGTTACCTAGTTGACTGTCATAAATACTGTAAATATTACTTTTTTTTTTTTGAGATGTTGTCTCACACTGTCACCAGGCTGGAGTGCAATGGCACGATCTTGGCTCACTGCAACCTCCGCCTCCTGGGTTCAAGCAATTCTGCCTCAGCCTCCCGAGTTGCTGGGATTAGTTGCGCGTCACCACACCCAGCTAATTGTTGTATTTTTAGTAGAGACAGGGTTTCGCCATGTTGGCTAGGATGGTCTTGATCTCCTAACCCTGTGATCTGCCTGCCTTGGCCTCCCAAAATGCTGGGATTACACACGTGAGCCACCACGCCCATCCCTAATTCTTTTTTTAAACATACCATTGGTTTAACTTTCCAGGAGTCAAAATTATAAATCTTTTCCCTCATGGATTCTTCCTCTGACTTCTCTGGGCTTTTTTTTTTGAGACAGGGTCTCCCTCTGTCACCCAGGCTGGAGTACGGTGGCGCAATCTCAGCTTACTGCAACCTCCACCTCCCGAGTTCAAGTGATTTTCGTGCCTCAGCCTCCCAAATAGCTGGGACTACAGGGACCCACCACCAGGCCGGCTAATTTTTCTATTAGTAGAGACAGGGTTTCACCATATTGGCCAGGCTGGTCTCAAACTCCTGACCTCAAGTGCTCTGCCCACCTTGGGCTCCCAAAGTGCTGGGATTATAGGCATGAGCCACCATGCCCCGCCCAACTTGTATGTTAGAAAAGCATTCCCTCTCCTGAAATCAAAAAACTCTTTATTCACCTACATCTGCTTTAAGTTGTTTTACAGCTTAATTTTTCAAATCTTTGAGAAATTTTTTTGGTTTGGGGGAATGGGATGAGGATCTAACTTTTTTTCACCTCAGCTTTAACAAATTATCTCCACACTATTCTTTTCTAGTCAATATAAATAGCCTTGTCATGTTGTAAATATTTTGTTGTTTTTTGTTTTTGTTTTTTGAGCTGCTTTAAAGAGAGAAAGAAACACTTCAAATCTGTCTCTATGGCTGCTTGTGTGTTTCCTATTAGGACTTGCCTATTCATGTGCTTGTTTTCCCTCTATTTATTCTATTCTGCTACTCAGTCTCAGACTATAAAATTATATAGGTATCTTACTCAGAGCAAAAAAGAAAGATTAGGCCTGAAGAGGTACCCAAAACTTAAGTTTAGCTTCAACAAATGTCAAAAGTAAATACCAACTAAAAGCTAAAATCTATCATGCTAGAAAGCTACTTACTTCCACAGTAGTTGCAGCCTTTTGAGTCATTTTTCCAACAAGGTCAACCTGCTCATATCTGGATTTCATGTATTTTTTTGCAACTTTGTATACCCACTGTGGGCAAGTTGCAGAAAAAAGTAAAGTCTGAGGATTGTCTTCAGAATCTTAAATAAACAAAAAGAATTCAAATGTTTTCTTAATTTCCCATGATGTAGCCAGCTTTTAAAAATTCCCCCAAGCTTCAAAAAAATAATGAAAAATTTAAAACTTGGGGTGAATTTTTAACACAGAGACTTCATTGTAATTATTAAAACTTTCAACTTGCAAAACTGGGGGACAATAGGAAGAGAACTGAACCTAAAAGGAAGGTGAGAATTTAAGAAGGAACAATGAACAAAAAAATCAATAAAATGAGTTAGTAAATCTACCCACTGACTATTAAAAAAAAAAAAAAAAGAATAAAGCATAGAAAGCTAAGAAAATAGTTAAAAGGATGCTATCATACTTTCTTTTTCAAGGACAGAACAGATATCAAATTATTTTAGTTTTGTTAGAACACAGGGGACACTGCAATAAGAATTATTAAATAAAAACTCGTTTGCATTTAAGATCGAAGAATAATTGCTAATGTGCTTATTTTGAATTAGAATATACCAGTTTTGTAGGATTCGTGAATAATATCTTCAACTTGTTCAGCAAAACCTAAATCTAACATTTGATCCACTTCATCAAGCACAACATGTCGCAGTTTAGAAAGATCCAATCGGCCACTCTGCAGATGGTCTTTGATACGACCAGGGGTTCCAACCAAGATGTCAATACCATTTCGAATATGATTAACTGTGAGAAGAGAAATGCCAACAATATGTAAAATTCACACTTTCACATTATTTACTTAAATATAAGTACCAAATACATCTTTGTGTTTCTATCATACATATTTACTCACTTTGGCTTTGATATGATGTTCCACCATAAAAACACGCCACACTGAGTTTCCTAGTTATATCTTTGAAGTCTTTGGCTACTTGGTTTGCCAGTTCCCTTGTTGGAGCCAAAACAAGTACCTGAGCAAGAGGTTTAAAAAACAAAAAGATATTTTTCTAAAGACATATCTGAATTAAAACCGAGAAGACTTTTTGTAGGTGCATTTAAAACCAGGAAACTCTACATTAATGTCATAGTATTTAAAGATACAACACAAATAGCAACAAGAACAGCGGTGTATATTTATTATATCCTCCCTTACTTCCTTCAGGTCTCTTCAGTAAGGTTTCCAAGCCCATTTTCATATCCTCCTGCCCCTTTATTATTTCTGCTCAGCACTTACACCACCCAAGATACTGATATTTTACTTATTTGCGATTGTCTATCTCACCCGATAAAATGTAAGCTCCATGAAGGCAGGAATTTATGTCAGGTTGGGTTACTGTATTCCCTGCACTTCAAACAGTGCCTGGTACAGTACAGGAAACTCAAAAATGTTTGATAAACAAATGAATGTTCACCATGTGCTAGGAACTAATGCTTTACAGGAATTATCTAATTTGATTCTCATAAAAACCCATGAGTGGCATTATTACACCATTTTCATAAATGACAGACTCGTGTCTCAGAGAATTAAAGTCTTGCCCAAAATCAAACACCTAGAAATGGTGGAGCTGGAATCTCCAGTAACATCTTTCTAATACAAAAGTTTTTTAAGGCAGCTTTGGGGCCAGGTGTGGAGGCTCACGCCTGTAATCCCAACACCTTGGGAGGCCAAGGTGGAAGGATCACTCGAGGCCAGGAGTTCAAAACCAGCCTGGACTACACAGTGAGACCCCCAACTCTACAAAAAATAAAAAATTAGCCAGGTGTGGTGGCACCTGCCTGTAGTCCTACCTACTGGAGAGACTGAGAGGAAGAGAGAATTACTTGAGCCCAGGAGTTCGTGGTTACAGTGAGCCATGATCACCCCACTGTACTTCATCCTGGGAAACAGAGTGAGACCATGTCTTTAAAAAAAAAAAAAAAAAAAAAGCTGGGCACAGTGGCTCACACCTGTAATCCCAGCACTTTGAGAGGCCAAGGCGGGCAGATCACAAGGTCAGCAGATCAAGACCATCCTGGCTAACACGGTGAAACCCAGTCTCTACTAAAAATACAAAAAATTAGCCGGGCATGGGGCCTGTATTCCCAACTACTCCAGAGGCTGAGGCAGGAAAATGGCATGAACCCAGGAGGCGGGGCCTGCAGTGAGCCGAGATTCCACCAAGGCACTCCAGCCTGGGAGACTGAGCGAGTCTCCGCCTCAAAAAAAAAAAAAGGCAGTGTTGAGATTATATCCTATGTCCTATTTCAGTCTTTTCCTAATTTCACCCCAAAAACATAACTCTCCGAAAAGATTCATCCTGTAAGTCAATACAGCCAACCTGATTTGGGATAGTTAATCTAAGACTATTATGATTTAATTATATTTATATATGTTAATTTGCTCTTATAATACCACTCAGTTGTCTTACAAAGAACAAATTACTTTTAGTCATACAACTATTCATATTATGATGCTGATTTTTTCTTCACTTTTACAAACCTTAAGTGCACACAGCTTTTTAGGTCAAATTTTAGGCTTACATTTTACAAGACCCCTCTGTCGGTTGATTTTACATTTATAAAATAAGACAGATGTCTAGCACCCCAATAATATATAAACAAGCAATATCATTTCAATAACACTCTTCTTAAAAAGTCCATCTTGGCCGGGCGCGGTGGCTCACGCCTGTAAACCCAGCACTTTGGGAGGCCGAGGCGGGTGGATCACGGGGTCAGGAGATCGAGACCATCCTGGCTAACACGGTGAAACCCCGTCTCTATTAAAAGATACAAAAAACGAGCCGGGCGTGGTGGCAGGCACCTGTAGTCCCAGTTATTCGGGAGGCTGAGGCAGGAGAATGGTGTGAACCCGGGAGGCACAGCTTGCAGTGAGCCAACATCGTGCCACTGCACTCCAGCCTAGGTGACAGAGCGAGACTCCGTCTCAAAAAAAAAAAAAAAAAGTCCATCTGTGTGTACTCACTTCAGCAGCACATACACTAAAATTGGAATGACACAGAGAAGATTAGCATGACCCCTGCACAAGGATGACATGAACATTCATGATGCATTCCATACTAAAGGGGAAAAAAGTCAACACTGAAATAAATGATGCTGAACATTTACTGAATGACAAATAAATGAACACCTCTTTAGAAAATTCATTTGTTTAAAAGCAAAGGTCAGGACTGAAAAAAAGAGAAGAAAAGGCTCAACTAAATATATAAACTGTAAATAAGATATACTGGCTTTGTAATTCATGAAATTATAAAAGTTATCTAAGGATCCATTCACATCACATTCATATGCAAAAACTACTTCATTTTAACTATGCTTGAAATTTCTTTTTGTGAAAAACAACGTATTTTTGCTTTATAACACAGTGTTAACTTTTCTATCTTGGGGGTACTAGAACTCAGGACTGGTATAACTTTCTTTCCCTTGCTGTTAGAGTAACATTTAAAGCTTTTACCCCCTATAATGATTACCTTTGGTGAGCGGCTTTTTTTAATTGTTTCTTGATTTCTTTGGAGTCTTTCAATTAAGGGGATGGCAAAAGAGAATGTCTTTCCTGTTCCTGTCCGTGCTTGAGCTATTAAATCTTTTCCTTCATATACAGGACCAAAGGTCTTAACTTGAATAGGAAAGAGATATGTTACCCCTCGACCTGTAAAATGAGATTTAATTAACATACTTCTTTACGACTAGCATTAGGAAAAAATATATTCATTTGAAAATGACAATCATGATTCTTCTATGTCTGCCTAAAGACATACCACCTGGTGACACAGCTATTCCTACCACAAACAAGAATTACTAAAAAATTAGTCTAAACTTTTGACAAATGCATATAAATCTTAAAGCTAAACACAAGTCAGAATATTGAAAAAGATGATGTAAAAATAACTGCAATTAAAGAAGAGCTACTTCTCCATTCTTTTTATGTTCTCCTTTTGGTCAGAAAAGGCACAAGAGTTTTACAAAATCTAGTGATAGATTTTTAATTGCATATCCATTAAAACTGCATACCTTTGGGCCAGCCGTGGTGGCTCACGCCTGTAATCCCAGCACTTTGGGAGCCCAAGGCGGACAGATCACAATGTCAGGAGTTCGAGACCAGCCTGACCAACATGGTGAAACACTATCTCTACTAAAAACACAAAAATTAGCCGGGCGTGGTGGCACGAGCCTGTAATCCCAACTACTCAGGAGGCTGAGATAGGAGAATCACTTGAACCCAGGAGGCGGAGGTTGCAGTGAGCCAAGATCGCGCCACTGCACTCCAGCCTGGGCAACACAGCAAGGCTCCATCTCAAAAACAACAACAACAACAACAACAACAACAAACCACATACCTTTCAGAAGCTTTATAGTCTCTTCAGAAATAGGAAAATTGGAGAAGGCTCCTTCTTTCTGTTCACGTGTTAAGGTCTGTAAAAATGAAATCAATGGCCTAAATAATATACTTTATATTCAACTCTTCTTCATTCACTGTTTTTAATTTTGTACAGATTCACTTACAAGGAAACCTAGTGGAACACTCTTTTTTTTCTTTTTTTTTTGAGACAGGGTCCCACTCTGTTGCCCAGGTTGGAGTGCAGTGGCACCATCACAGCTCACTGTGGCCGCAACCTCTGGGCTCAAACCCTTCCCACCTCAGCCTCCCAAGCAGCCAGGACCACAGGCGCAGGCCACCATGCTCACTTACTTTCTTATTTTTTGTAGAGACAGTGTCTCACCATGTTACCCAGGTTAGTCTTAAACTCTTGGCCTCAAGAGATCCTCTTGGCCAGGTGCGGTGGCTCGCACCTGTAATCCCAGCACTTTCGGAGGCCAAGGCAGGTGGATCACCTGAGGTTAGGAGTTCAAGACCAGCCTGACCAACATGGAGAAACCCTGTCTCTACTAAAAATACAAAATTAGCCAGGTGTGGTGGCGCATGCCTGTAATCTCAGCTACTCGGGAGGCTGAGGCAGGAGAATCACTTGAACCCAGGAGGCGGAGGTTGTGGTGAGCCGAGATTGCGCCATTGCACTCCAGCTGGGGCAACAAGAGCGAAACTCCATCTCAAGAAAAAAAAAAAAAAAGATCCTCCCACCTTGGCCTCCCAAACTGCTGAGATTACAAGCATGAGCCACTATGCCCAGCCAAAAAGGTTATTTATTAATCTAAATCATACAGATGTAGACAAAATTATAAAGATTAACACAAGCCTATAAACTAAGCTAAAAGAAATTACATAATGAGGAATGTAAAGTTTTTCTGAAAATAAGTTAATTTATTCTATAGCTTTTGAAAGATTTTTATTTAGGTTGCTAATACAAGAGAAAATTACTGTAAGTTTGAAGATTTACTTAACATATATACAAGTTAGCATGACATTATCATTTAACATTTATTGAAAACTTTGTACACTAATGTGTACACAGAACAAAAACAGTATGCCTACCCAGTCAGCTTTACTGTTCATGTGTTTAAAGAGACATACACTAACAATTTTCAAACTTGGAATTAGATAAAAAATACTTTCAAATTCAAATTGCATGCCATTTAAACAAACCTCAAGGCTGCTGTTACCTTTTCATGATTAAAAAAAATGACAAAAATAATACGCTGTTGGCCAGGCAGGGTGGCTCATGCCTGTAATTCCAGTGTTTCGGGGGGCCAAGGTGCTAGGATCACTTAAGCCCAGGAGTTCAAGACTAGTCTGGGCAACACAGTGAGACCCTGTCTCTATCAAAAACAAACAAACAAAAAATAAATAATACACTGTCATCATAGAAACTTTTGAAATTGGCAGGGCCCAGTGGTTTATATCTGTAATCCCAGCACTTTGGGAGGCCAAGGCGGCTGGATCACTTAAGCCCAGGAGTTCAAGACCAGTCTGGGCAACACAGTGAATGAAACATCATCTCTCCTAAAAATACACAAATTAGCCAGGCGTGGTGGTACATGCCTATAGTCCCAGCTACTCAGGAGGCTGAGGTGAGAGGATCATCTGAGCCCAGGAAGGATGAGGCTGTAGCAGTGAGCCATGATCACACCATTGCACTCCATCCTAGGTGACAGAGTGAGACCTCATCTCAAAAAAAAAAAAAAAAAAAGAAAAGAAAAGAAACTTTAATAACTACAGAGGAAAGAGAAACAAATTTAAAAGTTATTTATAATCCACTCAGCTAAAGCCACATTTGAAACATACTCCTCCAATCTTCACTCTATGCACAGAAAATTTTTTAAATAGAAATAAAATCACACTGTATATACCATTTTATAATCTTTTTTTGTTGTTGTTGTTGAGATGGAGTTTCGCTCATGTTGCCCAGGCTGGAATGCAGTGGTACGATCTCGGCTCACTGCAACCTCCGCTTCCCAGGTTCAAGCAATTCTCCTGCCTCAGCCTCCCAAGTAGCTGGGATTATAGGCATGTGCCACCACACCCAACTAATTTTTTTGTATTTAGTAGAGACGGGGTTTCACCCTGTTGGTCAGGATGGTCTTGGAACTCCTGACCTCAGGTGATCCACCTGCCTCAGCCTCCCAAAGTGCTGGGATTACAAGCATGAGCCACCGCGCCCATCCAATTTTTATCTTTTAACAAGATACAATGACTACCTTTTCTATTGTAGACCCTTTGGGATAACCGTATTCTATTACATAACTATTGTATGTTTTATTTAAACCAATTGTCTACTATCAGACATTTAGGATGTTTAAATATTTGCTATTATCAACAATATTACTGTGATAAGAGTACTTATTCATAAAGCTCTGCACACCTCTTGATCATCTCCTTAGGATAAATTCCTTTAAGTAGAATTCCTAAACTCTCATGTGATCTAAACAAAATAATAAACTGTTAAACCTATTATAATACAGATTTTACCAAGCAAAATCCCACCAAAGCGAGAAGCAAGCCATACATTCCACTGTTAGCAATACAGATTTAAAGGACCTTATTTAGATCAACAAACACATGTGCTTCCTGACAAACAGCAAATTCACAAATTTAAAAAAAAAAAAGTCAAAAGTCATAAGACAAGGATTCAACATCTTTTCCCAATGCTCCCCAAAGATTAGGCATTAAGCTCAAATGTGTATCAGCAATTATCATATTTAAAGAATATAAAGAATTACTAATTATCAGCCTGGGGTAGTGGCTCACACCTGTAATCCCAGCACTTTCGGGAGCCGAGGCAGGTGGATCACTTTGAGGTCAGGAGTTCAAGACCAGCCTAACCAACATGGAGAAACACCATCTCTACTAAAAATACAAAAATTAGCCAGGAATGGTAGTGCGTGCCTGTAATCTCAGCAACTTGAGAGGCTGAGTCAGGAGAATCGCTTGAACCCAGGAGGCAGAGGTTGCCATGAGCCGAGATTGTGCCATTTCACTCCAGCCTGGGGAACAGAGTGAGCCTCTGACTCAAAAATAAAAAAAGAAAAAAGAAAGAAAAGAAATTCAAGTAGGTGACCATCAAGCAATTCAGAATAACTTTAGGAACCCAAATGTACAGAAAAGGTTTAAATTTGACTATTTCTCCCATCAGGCCCCAAGAAAAAAGTCATACAATGAAATAAACAAGGGCCAAAGGAAAAAAGACTCAGACTTCACCTGTACAGACTCTCTAATGCAACTAAAAGTACTAGACACTAATCAAGAAATATTATATAATCAATTATAATTAGCCTAAAAAAATCAACCTATAGTTCAAGTATAATGTCAAATGCAAAATAAAAAGCATCCATACCTCCTCTAGTTTATTATCACTTGATTTATGAGTAGAACTATCTAAGGATGATACTCGCTTTGATTTTTTTTCATATTCATCAATATCTCCATTTGGTAGATCTTTTCTTCTTGACTTATGAGATTTAGAGAATTCATCTGAAAGTCTATTAAATCCTTCTTCAGTGTCTCCATTTAGCTTCTCTTTCATTTTAGTTTTTTTGGCCTTGGGAGCATCCAGGTCATCTGTAACACCGTTTTCTCTTGTTTCTGATTTCTCATCTGAGTCATAATGGTGCCTTGACTTCCTTCTGTCACTCTGTGAACAAAGAAAGTAGCAATGACAAGATGGTCAGAGGTTTTCTTTTAAGACTCTAGAGAAGTTAGCGTATGACTCCCCCACCAGTACAGTTCAATCTACAGTTACTTTGAAAACCTACCTGGTAAAAATCCAGACTGGTTACTAATGCCAAGCTCTAAGCCTCAACTATTGCTATCTTTCTCATCCCATTCCTAGCATTCTCAAGGCTCATCCTCTAGCCCCTCTCTAATCCCTTCATAAGATTTAAGGAAAATTAAAACGGTTTCTCCTTAAGGAAAGAAAGACAACCCCAGAATTATAAATACTAAACAAACAAAAACTTGCAACATTTCCAAGAGAAAAAAATTAATACTTATTGAATACCTACCCAGCACTGTGTAATGTGTTTTCAGCTTATCTTGTTTAAATCTTCATAACAACCCTATAAGGGAAGTACAGGTCCATAATCCCTTATCCGAAATTGCGATATCCATAAAGCTCTGAAAACCGAAAGTTTTTTTGTAACTTATTTGGAGGCAAAACCTTACCTGAATTCATTTGATGGCAAAATTTAACTTGAACTAATGTGAGGCTCTTTATAGTCTTTATTTATCCCACTTAGTATAACTACTCATATTTAATATTAAGGTGTTTGATTACAGGTTTTGGGCCCCAAACCCTACCTGGGTGTTATCCTTCAAAAAATCCCCAGAATTCTGAATTCCAAAATACAACTAGTTCCAAGGATTTTGGATAAGGGATAGTGAACCTGTATTACCTTTGCCATTTTATTTATTTATTTTTGAGATAGAGTTTTGCTCTGTCACCCAGGCTGGAGGGCAGTGGCGCAATCTTGGCTCACTGCAACCTCCGCCTCCCAGGTTCAAGTGATTCTCCTGCCTCTCAGCCTCCCAAGTAGCTGGGACAACAGGCGTACACCACCACCAGTAGAGATGGGGTTTCATCACGTTGGCCAGACTGGTCTCAAACTCCTGACCTCAGGTGATCCACCCACTTCGGCCTCCCAAAGTGCTGGGATTACAGGCGAGAGCCACTGCGCCCAGCCACCTTTGCCATTTTATAGACAAGGAAACAGAAGCTCTAAGAGGTTAAGCAACTTGCCAAAGATCCACATGTGGGATTTCCCGCAGCTCTAAGTACTAGAAATTGAATCTAGCACTGCCTGACTTGAAAGCCCATTCTCTTTTCACATTATACTTCCTCCCTGCACTTTGACAATTCACAGGTTAAAGGAAAACGAAACAAAACTATATAATTCATACAGAAGTCCAATTGTTATACCTCCATGGAAAGACAGTAATCCCTGGAATTTTTTTTTACTTTTTTAATTTAGTTAAAAAAAAAAAAAAAAAGCACTATTCTGCAACTTCAATTTTAAAATGCCAAACTACTGGTCAGTGTTGTGATATTTACAGAACACAAGAAAGGATTTGGGAATTTAGGACTTTAGCC